AGTAGTTGCAGTGTATGCTTGAAATAGCAGCATCATAATCTGCTAACACCACTGAAAAAGCAAAAAAAGGTTGTTCCGTGTACAAAAATCCCCATAACCCCATTCAAGTAACCACCAAACGATATGCAAAACTCCTGCTCTTCAAGGCTTATATGAAATGGAAGGAAGAACTAGGATACTGAGTAGAATCCCGTCGAGTGCGTTCAATGTGTTAGTAATAGGACGACTGGTGAAAACTCAAGAAACAGATTGGAACTGCTACATACTAGTGCGAGTCTACGGATTACCGTTCTCTAAAAATAATAGCCATGTCTTGTTCTTACTATGATTTGCACATACCCGAATGCTATCCACATGGGGTTTGATCCACCCCGTGGGAGCCAAGTCAAGAACATGGATGTGAGGAAGGAGGTCGTTGGAACTGGAGACCTTTTGAGTGCCCTCGGGACGCGGTTCCGCCTTCAGAGTGTCCAGTGTCTTTTGACGCAACCGATCGATGACCGGTCGATTCAAGGCCCACCAGTTTTTTCGCTCTGTCTCACGAAAATCTTTTATCACCTTTGGATGGAAGGAATTGAGTAAAATGAGAATTTACGTCATCCCAGTGTGATGTTTGATAGCAAAGTCGCGAAAAAATTGGAACAATTTCTGAAAGAAGATTTTGCTCCTCCTCTTCGGATATGAAATCAGGGATGGTAATTAGTTCTTCGCTGACGAGTTTCTTTACAAAGGCGTTCTGAAATTCTACAGGGTGATTATTTGGTCCAGACAAAACGGTAACCCTTGACGATTGACATCGAAGTGAGCAGAAAGTAGTGCGATATAGCGAGGAAAAATGGAGTGAAGCAATTCGTAGCATTAACAAAATATGGGATTGAACTCAAACTATAAGCAATTTCTTTTTAGAAGATGTGATGTAACTGTATTCCAGACACAAAACACAAGGAACCACAATTTCACTGATCGCACACAGCTAGGTGTGGCTTTTATAAAAGTGAGGTAGACAGATAGGCTCCAAAACGTCCCCGAATGTACAGGCCACTAATGCCGCTATGCACATTACCACACTGCATCCAAGGTCGATAGCATCGGCAATTGTTCGGAAGGAAATGGTTATTACTATAAAATTTTCTCTGTTTCTTAAATACATCATACATTTGCAGTGCGAACGTTTCAAAACGCAACTATGAATTTCATGCATACAGAAAA